CTAACTAGTTGTATATGACTGTGAAATGGTAAGATTACTGTGGTATGTAGAGATGAGATTAGACAATGTATGATGAGGAATTATTGATACAGTAGAAAATAGAACGAAACGAATCGTATGTCCACTTCTTCTAATTAATCTTCTATATCTATAATTCCACACCGTACACCATACCTCGTCTAATCCCGGCTTAATTCAGAACAGAAATAAAAATATGGTACAAGTGGTCCTTAACAAATGTTGGGGCCATTGTCTCCCAGACACTCTCCATGAGAGGTTTCAGACTATGACGCCTCCGCAAAGTTTCCCAATTTTCAATTCAACAGTTGTCAGTCTGTCCCCTATTTGTACACCCAATCCCCGCAAGGGAGGGCTAGCAATATATTATATTATTATATTGTAGGGGTAGATCAACAGTTTGATAATGGTAGTAGTATGTTACATATAGCCTGTCTATCTAGAAACATAGAATCTGTTCAATATCTAACACAGATTGGTATCTCTCCTAAAATAAGAGACAAGCACGGTAAGTTAACTCTTTATATACCCATCATTCTCTATTTAGATATATATAGATTATCACCATCCCAATCCTCATGTCTGTTCATCCATTTACAGGTCTAGTCAGACATGACTGGTAAATACAATCAAATCAACATTCTATAGCTCTAGTCAGACATGACTGGTAAATACAGTCAAATCAACATTCTAGAGCTCTAGTCACACATGACTGGTAAATACAGTCAAATCAACAGTCTAGAGCTCTAGTCAGACATGACTGGTAAATACAATCAAATCAACAGTCTATAGCTCTAGTCAAACATGACTGTTAAATACAGTAAAATCAACATTCTAGAGCTCTAGTAAGACATGACTGGTAAATACAATCAAATCAACAGTCTATAGCTCTAGTAAGACATGACTGGTAAATACAATCAAATCAACAGTCTATAGCTCTAGTCAGACATGACTGGTAAATACAATCAAATCAACAGTCTATAGCTCTAGTCAGACATGACTGGTAAATACAATCTAATCAATAGTCTAGAGCTCTAGTCAGACATGACTGGTAAATACAGTCAAATCAACATTCTACAGCTCTAGTCAGACATGACTGGTAAATACAATCAAATCAACAGTCTAGAGCTCTAGTCAGACATGACTGGTAAATAAAATCAAATCAACAGTCTATAGCTCTAGTCAGACATGACTGGTAAATACAATCAAATCAACATTCTAGAGCTCTAGTCAGACATGACTGGTAAATACAGCAAAATAAACAGTGTAGAAAATACAGTGAAACACAAACTCAATCAGTTCTGCCATCAATTGGAAACACCTAAATAGTGCACTACTATACAACTTTTACTCTTTTTTATTTTATTCTATACTGCACCCTGAGCATTAATCCTAGGTCTGTATAATCCTAGGTCTATATAATCCTAGATCTATATAATCCTAGGTCTGAATAATCCTAGGTCTGTATAATCCTAGGTCTGTATAATCCTAGGTCTGTATAATCCTAGGTCTGTATAATCTTAGGTCTGTATAATCCTAGGTCTGTATAATCCTAGGTCTGTATAATCCTAGGTCTATATAATCCTAGGTCTATATAATCCTAGGTCTGTATAATCCTAGGTCTATATAATCCTAGGTCTATATAATCCTAGGCCTATATAATCCTAGGTCTATATAATCCTAGGTCTATATAATCCGAGGTCTATATAATCCTAGGTCTATATAATCCTAGGTCTGTATAACCCTAGGTCTATATAATCCTAGGTCTATATAATCCTAGGCCTATATAATCCTAGGTCTGTATAATCCTAGGTCTGTATAATCCTAGGTCTGTATAATCCTAGGTCTATATAATCCTAGGTCTATATAATCCTAGGTCTGTACAATCCTAGGTCTGTATAATCCTAGGTCTATATAATCCTAGGCCTATATAATCCTAGGTCTATATAATCCTAGGTCTATATAATCCGAGGTCTATATAATCCTAGGTCTATATAATCCTAGGTCTGTATAACCCTAGGTCTATATAATCCTAGGTCTATATAATCCTAGGCCTATATAATCCTAGGTCTGTATAATCCTAGGTCTGTATAATCCTAGGTCTGTATACTCCTAGGTCTGTATAATCCTAGGTCTGTATAATCCTAGGCCTATATAATCCTAGGTCTATATAATCCTAGGTCTGTATAATCCTAGGTCTGTATAATCCTAGGTCTATATAATACTAGGTCTATATAATCCTATGTAAATATATTGATAAGACAGTGTATATTTTAATCACCTAGTATAAAACACATTCTACTGTTTACTAGATGATATAGTTTATATAAACTCTAGTAAAATATTAACCTGGTTAAAATGATAGATTATGTAACAGACTGTAAACTAGGTTATCATTGGTAGTTAGATTCAAATATTCACTATAATACCAGTATAGGTTGTTTTACAAACAGTTTACACAAATACTGGATTATATATTTAACATGGACTCTCTTAAAGGTATGCTGAATTGACAAACTTTAATACAAATAAACATCATTAACTATGTGGACTCTCTTAAAGGTATGCTGAATTGACAAACTTTAATACAAATAAACATCATTAACTATGTGGACTCTCTTAAAGGTATGCTGAATTGACAAACTTTAATACAAATAAACATCATTAACTATGTGGACTCTCTTAAAGGTATGCTGAATTGACAAACTTTAATACAAATAAACATCATTAACTATGTGGACTCTCTTGAACTATTATTGACTTATATAAGGTATAACAGCATGTTTTACACACAGTTTAAAGAAATAGTGGATACTAAATTAACTATGTGGACTCTCTTGAAGAGATGCTTAGTTGTCAAACTTAATACTAAATAATGTGGAAGTATATTGCTGTTCCCCTATCCGTCGATCGGTCAGTCTGTCGGTCCGGCTGTCCACATTCCTTGTAGACACCATAGAGACTGCAGTTTTTAAACAATATAAATAAAACTTGGTATGAATGCATATGTTGATAAGTTCTCAGTCAAGTTTGAAATTGGTAATAATCAGATGAACAATTCTGGAGTTATTGCCCTTGACTTCCTAAAAATCGGTTAAATTTGGCTTGTAGGCACGATGGAGACTACAGTTTTGATCCGATCTTGATGAAACTTAGTATGCATGTATGTATTAATGAGATCTCAGTCAAGTTTGAAATTGGTAACAATCAAATGAACGTTTCTGGAGTTATTGCCCTTGACTTCATAAAAATCTGTCAAATTTGGCATGTAGACACGATAGAGACTATAGTTTTTATCCAATCTAAATGAAACTTGGTATACATGTATATATTGATGAGATCTCAGTCAAGTTCGAAATTGGAAATAATCAGATTAACGGTTTCAGAGTTATTTCCCTTGACTTAGTTAAACGCATCAAATTTGGCTTGTAAGCATGATAAAGGCTACAGTTTTTATCTGATCTTGATGTAACTTGGTATGCATGTATTTATTGATGAGATCTCAGTCAAGTTTGAAATTGGTAATAATCGGATGAAAGGTTTTAGAGTTATTGCCACTGTGTGTTCCCCGATGAGACCTTGATGCATTGTTTTTCAGGTTTTGCCTTGACTTTAGTTTTATAGATATAGACTTCTATTTATTATTTAAACACAATGTTTCATTACACATACAGGTAGCGTTTTCACTTAATGAAACGTTGTGTTTAAATAATAAATAAAAATTGATATCCATAAAGCTGTCGTCTGTTAAATATTGATATGTTTTGTCCTATCTTGTGTCGTTGCAGATTTTGTTGAATTTAGGAGAATTATTATGTGTCAAATTTCAACTCTATAATTGAAAGGCAAAATTGATTTGAAGTCTACAACTACAACATTTTGATTTTCTACCAAATTTCTATGAAATGCGATTAAAAATTAACATGATTATCCAAAACTGTAATTTGATCTGATTGATTGATTGTTGATCAAACTTTCCCTTAATTGAGCCCTGAAACACATATTTTTTTCCTTGGAAATTCCAACTTGACAAATATGACTAAAATTTATATACATAAGCTTATATATGATAAACAAATAGGTTGATAGATTGAGTTTATATTAGGTAAATAATATTTATTATGATATATTATATTGATCTGTTTTTAATTGTTTGTGACTTTCTACCACTCAACTTATTACCCTGTTTATTGATTAGTACCAGTACAGTCAAATCTTTCACACCTTTATAATCTAGCTCAATGTAAGACTCAGAGATACTTCTCTATAATTAATGTTTTCAGAGCTTTTTAATAGTTTGTTTCTTAGTTTATATTTAGATACAAATATTTTGTTATTTTCAGGTTATACAGCAGATCAAGTGACGTTTTGTCCTAAAATAAAACGACTTCTACCTCCGAAATATACCCAGAAAGATAATAGTGTTACTATAAATAGATCCATGTTACAACCTAGTTTACAAGATAAGGATACCATCTTTTCACTGGCTAAAAATCCAAAAAACTTCGACGACATTCAGAAAAAATTACAGGTAAGATAAGAGATCATGGGTTCATTAAGTTACAGGTAAGATAAGAGTACATGGGTTCATTAAATTACAGGTAAGATAAGAGTACATGGGTTCATTAGATTACAGGTAAGATAAGAGAACATGGGCTCATTAAGTTACAGGTAAGATAAGAGAACATGGGTTCATTAAATTACAGGTAAGATAAGAGAACATGGGTTCATTAAGTTACAGGTAAGATAAGAGAACATGGGTTCATTAAATTACAGGTAAGATAAGAGAACATGGGCTCATTAAGTTACAGGTAAGACAAGAGAACATGGGTTCATTAAGTTACATGTAAGATTAGAGAACATGGGCTCATTAAGTTACAGGTAAGATAAGAGAACATGGGTTCATTAAGTTACAGGTAAGATAAGAGAACATGGGTTCATTAAATTGCAGGTAAGATAAGAGAACATGGGTTCATTAAGTTACAGGTAAGATAAGAGAACATGGGTTCATTAAATTGCAGGTAAGATAAGAGAACATGGGTTCATTAAGTTACAAGTAAGATAAGAGAACATGGGTTCATTAAGTTACAGGTAAGATAAGAGAACATGGGTTCATTAAGTTACAGGTAAGATAAGAGAACATGGGTTCATTAAATTGCAGGTAAGATAAGAGAACATGGGTTCATTAAGTTACAGGTAAGATAAAAGAACATGGGTTCATTAAGTTACAGGTAAGATAAGAGAACATGGGTTCATTAAGTTACAGGTAAGATAAGAGAACATGGGTTCATTATGTTACAGGTAAGATAAGAGAACATGGGTTCATTAAGTTACAGGTAAGATAAGAGAACATGGGTTCATTAAGTTACAGGTAAGATAAGAGAACATGGGTTCATTAAGTTACAGGTAAGATAAGAGAACATGGGTTCATTAAGTTACAGGTAAGATAAGAGAACATGGGTTCATTAAGTTACAAGTAAGATAAGAGAACATGGGTTCATTAAGTTACAGGTAAGATAAGAGAACATGGGTTCATTAAGTTACAGGTAAGATAAGAGAACATGGGTTCATTAAATTGCAGGTAAGATAAGAGAACATGGGTTCATTAAGTTACAGGTAAGATAAGAGAACATGGGTTCATTAAGTTACAGGTAAGATAAGAGAACATGGGTTCATTAAGTTACAGGTAAGATAAGAGAACATGGGTTCATTAAGTTACAGGTAAGATTACAACTCAACCAGCATAAGAAATTACGTATGAATTTTTTACATGAAAATAACACACATGAACGTAGTTCACGACCATTTTGTCAAATTTTTAAACAAACAATAATATTTCATTTGACTTATTAAGTTGAGGAAGAGATTTAAAATGGTGGTGAACTATGTTTGTTTGTGTTATTTCCATTTAAGAACAATGTGTAGTTTCGTATGGTCAAATTGCTCAAAAATTACTCATATCTTAGATCTTTGATTCAGTTGTCTGAATATACCACCTTTAAACTGATTTACATAAAGGTGAATAATTAGGTAACTGTATACCTTAGGTTTTACATGTTATTGAATTGTGAGGAACAGAAACCCAGATTGTAATTCTGGAAAGTGTTATGGACAGCTATAAATAATAATAATAATAATAATAATGCATTTATAGAGCGCCTTTATTCTAGAAAAGTTCTACTCAATGGTGATAATTGAGCTCTGTTTATCTGATGAAGATATTGAGTTGACAACACCTTGTGAAGGTTTATTATAATAGATTTGTCTCCCTTTGTTTCAGACATTTGATTTTAACGTTAATACTGAATGTGATAGAAATGGTGATTTTTTACTTCACGTAGCCTGTCGAGAAGGTAAGAAAATATGGCCACAGATTGTAACACGATAGCATTGGTCCTACCTTGATTTCTAATGTAAATTGCAGAAACATTGTATACAATAAAACTCAAAAGTAGTAATAAGTTTGAGAAAGAAATTCCTATGTAAGGGGGAGGGGGTTATACAATCAATAAAAGATCCTGAAAGGGGTAATAGAAAGAAAAAGGTTGAAAACCTCTGTTTTAGTATATTGTGATCTCTACTCCTAAATATTAGTTTGAGTTAATTTTGAAAGAAGAAGAGTTAAAGACATCACAATATATACACACTTCCATGAGCAACTGTTTACAGGACAGAGAAATACTGAGAAAAACAGTTTTATAATATACTGCACGGATGTTGATTTGGCTCTGTATGCTTGACATGACTGGCAGGGCAGCTCTAATGACCGACGGTCAATATCCTCTGTCAGACATCAAGCATAGGGTTGTGACGTTCCTTACAAAAATACGAATTTACCCAATTTCATAAGTTAACAACTGGTCAAGTCAATAAGTCAAACTGTCAGTTAATTAAGAGAAGTTAATCAATGAACCATAATATATTATACTGTTCTAGAAATATTATATACATGTACAGATAATATTATTTTTTATTGAAATTTCGAAATGGCACTTTGTGCAATTGTTTGATATTTTTGGCAATATTTCTTACATTTTATCTTATTTATTACCTGAAATATTGTTTTCTTTTATATCTGTGTATGTATTTTTAAACGTATATTTTATTATTTAGTGCCCCTGGGCTCTCAGGTGAAAGATGTGCTATATAAATACATCTTAATAATAATAATAATAATAATGATATATTCTGTGTTTATATTTTCTAGGTTTGTGTCAGCTTCCATTAATAATGGCGTTAGTAAAAATACAAATGGCTGACGTAGAATTATGTAACGGAAAAGGAATGACACCGTTAATGTTGTCAGCTATAACAGGAAATAGTGTCTTGTGTGATGTACGTACTTCTTTTATTATTAGGAAGTCATGTGGACTCTCTGATGTCGACAAACCTAAATACTCAATAAACATGATTGACTATACAGACTCTCTGAAACTGATGTTGAGTTGACAAACCTAAATACTCAGTAAACATTATTAGCTATGTGGACTCTCTGAAACTGATGTTGAGTTGACAAACCTAAATACTCAGTAAACATGATTAACTATACAGACTCTCTGAAACTGATGTTGAGTTGACAAACCTAAATACTCAGTAAACATTATTAGCTATGTGGACTCTCTGAAAGAGGTAACTATTTGACTGTCAGTGGTAGAGTTTAAACATATTTCTAGTTATATTTTGATATTTATGTCAATATATCTATTTTTAGGTATTAATGTGTTTATTTGGTGCCAGTCCAAACAAATCGAACCCTAACAATGGAAGATTTGCTCTTCATTATGCTGTTGAGGGGAATCATAGGAAAACAGTGGAGTAGGTGTATTTTATTATTATAGTTATATTTCAGTGTCTTATTAACCTATATTACCACGTCATTTTGTGGGTGTGGAAATTAGATTAGTGCTATTTAAATCTGACCAATCAGATCTGTAGAAAAGAAATAAGATCATGTAAACAAAACACAACATGGCTTTGCCGTCACCTGTTTGAAGAGATAAGAACATATTCTTTCCAAGTAAATATTCCCAAGTCAGGTTTGATTTTCTCTCGACTTCTTTACCGAAAATCTTACTCAATTCTGTACCGTAAATATTAATCAAAATATTTAATGACACGGTGCTTTCGTTCTGTTTACGTTCGCAAACATAGCGTCATAACGAGTGATTTGTTTTGATTGGCTGAGATTTCCTAGAAAGGTTTAAGGGCTAATTTTGATGTGTGAATATGTAATTAAAATAAAGAAGTATGAGGAATAGGGGTGTTATTTGAACACAAGGGAGATAATGTGACGGAGGGAATCTAATTATATCTCAGTATATTATCATCACAGTAAAACTATATCTATGCACATAAAATACTTATTTACACTTCTATACCAATATAATTCATAAATATTTCAATAATACTATGCTATTGGACT